AAGACTTAAACTTGCACCAATCTTGGTACATCTGCAAATATGTTAACTAAAATAAACTTTTTAAATGTTTTGTAGTTGTTTCAGTGATTTCTGGAGGCATCTAAGTGCCTCTGTTTTCAGCCTGGGGACATCATCTGGACAGCTTCATTCTTTGCCATTTTACCATAAATCTCTTCCCTCACTTCCTTTGGACCTCAACGCACTCCGCCTGTGCCTTTGGTCCTAACAACTGCACAACCTTTCTATCTGCTCCTTTTCTCTCTGGCCTTTTCTATTTACATAAAACTCTTGGAATTCTAACCTCAACCATCAATCTTTCTCGGTTTCTTATCAGTCGATAACAGGACTCACCCCGTGCACTATTCTGTTTACCACAAAATAACAGTCTACTTCTTCCCAAATAGGAACTATTGTTTGGCCTTATCTCTGAGAATGTAAGAGTTAGAAGATCAAGGTCGCTTTTTTCCACACACTGATAGGGACCTGGCCATTGATATTAGATAACAAAGGAATTTCTTCATAATTATTTATTACGAACATTCCTGGAAATGTGTCATGTAATTTCCTTGGTTGGAGCTCCTTAGAAATTGCTAAATCTAGGGATTTAGATTACTTTCTGGTCACACTTAAGATTATCAGACTAGGGATGAGACCTTCCGTCATACACGGCTCAGAGATGCGTAGAATCAGTGGGCTTGGACATGTTGAGTCAGGAGGAAATCCAAAACCTCAGATGCTAGTGGGACTAGGTAGAGTCTTGTGGCCTATCCCTTTCCCAATTTTGACCCTGTTTACTTGGGAGATATCTCAAGGTAAAGTAATGTTTTGAGGTAGGCCCAGAGAGGGGCACTCTGGGAGTGAGGGTACCGAAACCTTCCTTTGGTTTTGGAGGTGATTCATGCACAATTTGTATGCATGAAACTCAGGCCTCACTGTTCAGAACACTGCTGCCCACTCCCCGCCGCTGCTCCAGAACCAGAGCTGACTTGACTGTGGTTGATTCGTCGATCCTATGTGAAGCCTGGGCCAAAGGTGATCACCACGGCTCGGGGGAAAGCATTGCAGAGAGTACCTTTTAGGCAGTGTCTCCCATACTTCAGTCACCTCTGAACCCACCTTTCTGAAATTTCTGAAATTTCCTGATGGTGCAATTTAAAAAAACTAAAATTGTAGAAGGAATCAAGATATCCCATGTTATAATGGAAAGACAGCATAAACATTCTGAGAACAGACCTACATTTTTTAAAATTTAAAGGCTAAAAAGGACCTGAACTTGGGGCCTGTTCTTTTTTTTCTGAAATAGGAGATGTTAGTGTTAGGAGGTGATAAGGATTACTGCTGATAGACTAAAAATATTCCTGATTTGTTCAGAAAGATTGACAGAAAACCGAAATTAGAATAATACTCTTCACCCCTTCAAAAGCATGAACTCACTTGGTGAGCAATGTTTTTAACAGTCATCTGGACCCAAGAGTCATTGCCAGTAGATTCAAAAGGTTGATGTAGGCTGACTGAATGTCTAGTGTTGTGTCCTTAGTGTAAGACAATACAGGAAACACAGCTAAGCAGGATAACCTGAATGGGGTTGGAGAATTTATAGTATCTATGCATCCATATCTGTGTATGTGCTTGTGTGTGCATTTTTACTTACAGGTTTTTGTTTGTTGGTTTTGTTTTTTTGAGGCAGAGTCTTTCTCTGTAGTTCAAGCTGGCCTTTAACTCAATTATGCAGTCCAGGCTGGTCTCGAATTCACAGCAATCCTCCTGCCTCCGCTTCCTGAGTGCTGGGATTACAGGCCTATGCCACCATACCTGGCATTATCTTGCGTTTTGAGACTAGCGCTAAGCAAACTTGTAAGTGTGACATGTGTAATACAGCTGGCACCCACCAAGGCACTCAGGGAAACATTCTGCAGGGCATTGGCCTCAGAAAAGTGTTACTTGAATTTAGCTGATGTTTGGAGAAAGTGCATGCTTTGAATTACAAACAAGTGGAATGTGACGTCTTCCAGAGAGATTTGCAGTGGGGTTAAGATGTAGATCCCTGGGGCCCATGTGAGATTTAAGGACCCAGAAGTTGACAGACAGGCAGGATGTAAAATCTGAGATGCTACAGGATGCTAGGGGCAGAAGGGAGAGATTTCTGGCACTTAAGCTGGTGTCAGTCTGACCCGGACTTGAGAAGGAAGACTTAGCTCACCAGGGTGTAAGCAACAAGTACTGCAGAGGTGTGTGGTCCTCCAGCCAGTCAGGTCCTCCAGACTGTCAGACTAGCCAGTGACAGTCTCCTGTTACTCTGCCCCAAGAGTGATTAGCAAGAGTCAGCACCCCACCGTGCAACGCCCTCTGCACTGGAGAGGCACCGCAGAGACAGGAAGGAGCAGCACTTGGCATCATTTGGAGGCCTGGGAAAAAGACACTGCAGAGTAAGACGGTGTGGGTGGGGAGATCTTCATGTTCTGTCTAGGTGTGGGCTACGCTCATTTTTAGCCTAAAGTTAGTGCTGATTCTCATGAAAATCTGAACCAGGGCGGCCCCCTTTTTATAGAAGAGCCATGCTGAACAAAGGGGCCCTCAGCAGATAGGGTGGAAAAGGAAGAGGAAAGGGAGGGAGCCTGATCAGTGTCTGGCTTGTGTCTCCCACTGTACTGACATCTACATACGTTTCAATATTCCAGTCTCATTGCAATTCACAGTGAAGGGTGGTAGAGAGTCCATTTTACAAACAATGAAACCAAGATGCAGAAGTCTAAGGGGTGTTAGGCTAGAGGAGAACAAAGGACAGAAAAAACTCAAAAAGAAGGAGAGGAGGATAATGGCAAGTGGGGAACTTTAGGGATGTTAAGGAGACTATTCCAGGGAAGGATTTCCTCCTGTGTTTTGTCTGTTTTTGTAGCTAGTCTTGTTTTCCACCACAAATTCTTTTGAAAAGCAGATATTATATTGATTAAAACAATGAGCTGGTGCCCCATGGATTAGACTTAATAATCTTTGACAATAAAATGATGCTAGGTTTGGTGACATGAAAGGGGGTTTCCTTCTTTTTCCCATGAAGACTAGCATTTCATGAGAAAAACACATTTTATTTGGAACTTTAAAGAACTCTGAACGGGGTCCGTGGGAGGGAAGTGAGCCAAGCAGCTCCCAGCTCAGGCGCGCTCCTCCACTCTGCTTCCGCTCACGGCTGGCCTTCCGAGGGGAGTGTCGATGCCAAGTTGGAAATCAAAGCAAGCGGGCTTTCTAAGAATGGGGATGTGATGCCTTAGCAGGGAGGACTTCAGCCGCGGAATCTGGCCGCTTTCCTTCATTTTTAACAAGAGTGCTCCTGTTCCAGATTTCAGGAGGTGGGACACACGCTCCTGCCTTCCCGAGGTCCTGGGGACAAAGTTGCTTGCGGACCTGCAGGACATGTGGGACATAATCTAAGGAAGAGGACACAGGCCCTGTAGCTCCCCTGGGAGTGTGGTGCAGCAGACAGCTGTCCCTCTTCCTTTGTGCTACCCAAGTGAAGTGGGAGGTCCCTCAGATAATCAAGCAGCTGGGCTTCTGTTTGTGTCCAGACCTGCTTCTCCTCTGTTCAGTTCAGACCTCCCGCCTTCGTGTTACAGTGAGTTCTGAAGCCCTCGTCGGCCCTTTGGTCTCTTTGTGACCTTCTGTTGCTCATCTCCCAGCACTTTTCTTTTTCTCAAGAAATGTCCCAGCAGAGTACTGCAGCTTAGCAAACGTGGCTCATGCAGAATCAGTGTGGTTATTCCTGACAGGGTTCCAGTTGTCAGAACCTTTCCACTTTCACATTTGAGTAATCAGAGCTGTAAATTTTTTTCACTTATTCAACAAATGTTTGACCGTGCCAGGCACTATCCCAGATAGGCACTTAAATAAGTAACACAAGCTCAGGGCCCGGAAGAGTTTCGTAGCCCTTGGGGAGAAGCAGATGAGGAAACCGAGGGATTCTTGAGGCTGGTATGGTGCGGTAGGGCAAGAAGAAGAGGCATCTATACCAGATGTCCTGGGCTCTTACAGCTGCTCTACTTAACACTCACACTGGTACGGTGATTCTAGTTGTTAAGATATTAAGATGCTCTTGCTCCAGTTGATGAATGGCTTCAGATGTCCCTTGCACCCCATCCCCCATACATTCCCACACACCCAGCAGCAAGGGAGGATTAGGGCCCAGAAGCTACAGCTCTAGCATGTTGGTCTTAGTCCATTCTGCTTAGTTGTTACTTGGACTGTAAAGATTTCTGAATATTTTGAGCATCTCTCTGTGTATTTTGGGGGGGGCATTGGATCCATAGTACCCCCAGAGACTACCATATAGCTAGTGCTCCATAAATATTAGTTGGATGTTTAATAAACCAAATACTGAGAGTTGAGACAGAGGAGGTTGGCAAAGCAGACAGGCTTCTTGGAGGAAAGATTTTAGAAATCTTATTATGGAAAGAATAAGTGCACTTTACTGATTTTATAAAAATTCCATATAAGGCATGAAGAAGAAAACTCATGACCCTATCACCCAGAAATGGTCATATTTTGACAGTGTTTGGTATGTTTTCTCTTAGAATTGTCATATGTGTTCTTTTCCTCTGTGCATACATAACTGGACAGAGATTTTATTGTGTCAGTGTAAGTTTTCTGTCCTTCCTCGCCTGTCCACATGGGACTCTGTCTACCTGCTTGGTCCTGGCCTGTAAGTGGGTAAGGGAGCCCATAGGAGACAAGGGCGGGAGGGGCTGAGTGAGGGTGGCTGCGTAGATTCACAGCGGCAGGGCACAGGGTGACTCTCCAGATAGCTGAAAGTGAAAGGAGAGGGGAGTCAGGATGAGAAAAGAGCCCTGAAAAACCATAACATTGGCTATAACTTGAGGAAGAAGGGAGGTGTGGGAGAGCAGCTTTCATGCCCACACAGGTGATATAGGGTGACAAAGACAAACCAAGGTTGTTTTCTTACATGTCATGGAATATAATCCTACCATTGTCTGCTCTTTCAGATACTTTCCAAAAGAAGCAACATTTCCTGGCCTTTGTGGGAGTGGATTTGTAGTTTCCGATAGAAGTCTGTGCTGGTATGGGCTTTATATTGGCAATAGGAAGGGCCAATTTGTTTAGAGTATTTGTGTGTGTGTGTGTGGTGGGTGCTTTTGTGTGTACATGCATGTGTGCATGTGCATGTGTGGGTGCTTGTGTGTGTACACATTTGTGGGTGCTTGTGTGTGTACATGCATGTGTGCATGTGCATGTGTGTGCACGTGGGCGCGCTTTGGGCCTATATGCAAGTAGTGGTGGTAATAGTTTAAAATTGCTTGATGTGCTCTCTTGTTTTTCTAACCACTTGACCTTGATTTTATTCTGCCTGAGGCATCCATTACCCATCTGTCAAAAATGGAAACAGGGAAGGCAGGTCATGTCCAATTCTGAAATTCAAAAATATGATATTGCAGTCATTCAGTAATATCAAAGCCAGGATATTATGTTCAGAAGGTGATCTCTAAATTCCATTGTCTCCTTACTTTGGCAAATCAAAATTCATACTTACTGAGCCAGACCATAGCCGATTTATGAATGGAAGACCAGAAGGGAAGGTGATGAGTCTCTTCCAGCCCTGGGGACTCTGGTGGAAGAAGAAAAAAAGAATTAGGAGAGAAAGGTTATCAGACATGTGCCTTGAGGTGACTTAGCAAAAAATAAAGCTAACAACACAGAGGTTGTCCCTCAGCCCCTTCTTTTTTTTTTTTCTTCCCGGTACCGGGAATTGAACTCAAGACCTTGCACTTGCCAGGCAGGCGCTGTGCCGCTGAGCTAAATCCCAAGCCCCTCCTCGGCCCCTTCTGAAGTCTGTGAAACTGACCACCTTATGGAAAGTGAAGCCACAGCAGAGCGAGCACAAGGGTACTTCATGCCTGTGCAGAGATCTAGGCATCTCTCTTTGGAGCTGTCCTTGGTTCTGCTGCTCATCCTAATTCTGAATGAGTCCCCAAAGATCAAAGTCCTTAAAATTAAAAATTCTGAAAATCACAATCTCAGAAGATTAAAATTTCAAATTTAAATATCCAGAGAAATCACCAATTCCTTTAAAAATGTGGGGAGCTCTATTAAGAGAAACAGAAAACTCAATTTTGAGCCGGGCATAGAAGTACATCTCTGCAATTCAAACTCTCTGGGAGGCTGAGTCAGGAGGATCACAAGCTCAATTCCTGACCCCATCTTCCCATTGCTCATTTAGCAGTGAAATCACCAGTATTAGTGGCCTCATGATCCAGTCACCTATCTTGGCCTCACCTCTGAACATTGCTGCACTGGGGATCAGTCTTTCAGGGAGACAACCTCAAAACCACAATCTCAGCCAAAAACATTTGGGTACTGGTGAAGAGGGACATAAAATTCACACACTGAAGAAAAAAAATATACTTTTTTTCTATATATCTGAGTTGTGTTGTTTAATATCTCTCTCTCTCTCTCTCTCCCTCTCTCTCCCTGTCATGCACACAGACCGTTAACACTGGGTGTAGAATTGTTCTGGTGAAAGTTCTCTTGTTGGCGAAGACCAGCACCTCCATCAGGCTAACTCTGGTAACAGAGTGAGGAATAAGCTCAAGACCCTGAAGACAGGCTCGTGGGTGAGCAAGTGGGAAAGAAAAGACCGGTGAGGGAAGCAGAGTGGAAAACTCCAGACCCAGATTCACCCTAATTACTTCTCAGAGTCATATGATCTCCCTCTTTCTGCTTCTTTTTATTTTTTAAGCTTGTACCAGATAATGCCATCTCTGAGTCTATATCAGGAAAGTTTATTTAGAAGCTATCCTTCAATTTACAATTTTCTCCTGGACCTCTCAGCTCAAATTCCAATGAGATTTAAAAAAACATGAATTAACCAGCAATCACCATATAGCTAAAGATAAAATGTGAAAGTATAACACTTTTGGAAAAAACTATGGAAGAAAATCTTTGTGGTGTTTGGTTAGGCAAGGAATTTGTAGATAAGTCACCAAAAGCACAATCTATAAGGGAAAAAAGAGACACACTGGGACTTTAGTAATATTAAATATTTTTCCTCTTCAAAAGACACTAGTAAGAGAATTTATAGGCAAATAACACACAGGGAGAAAATATCTGCATACTATATACTTACAAAGGTTTGTATTTGGAAGATCTGAAAATAATCTTAAGACTTAATGATAATAATAATAAAAAAATTAAATATGATAAAATTTGAAGACATTCTACTAAATGATGTACTTGGATAACAAAGAAACATGTGAAAAGAAGCTAGCTATTACTAGTTATGGAAATGATAACCAAAACTGTAGTAAATTATCATTACACACCCATCAGAATGTTTTTTTAAAAAAACTGCAAAGGGCAAAATAAGTGGAACTTTCTTTCATATGTTGCCAGTGGGAATGCAAAATAGTAGAATTATTTGGAAAACATTTTTTTGATTTCTTATAAAGTTAAATATACACTTCCTATATGGTGGAGAGATTCTACTTCTACCTATTTACCCAATGAAATTTTCCAAAAACCTCTACACAAATATTTATAGCAGCTTTATTCATAATTTCCTCCAACTGGAAAGAAAACCAAATAGTCCTGCAATCTCTTAATTGGGAATGAATTAGCAAATCCTGACACATCCATTACAGTGCAGTGCTGCTCAGTAATAGAGATGGATCAATTGGGCAGATGTGGTGGCACAGGCCTGTAATCCCAGGACTCTGGGAAGCTGAGGCAGGAGGATCGCAAGGCTGAGCTCATTCTGGGCAATTTAACTACTTAGTGATAGGCGCATTTGGGATGTAGTTTGATGGAAAGGCCCCGGGTTCAATTCTTCCCTGGGGGAAGGCACTACTGATACATATGAGATGAGTGAATCTCAAATGATGCATTGTGCTAGGTGAAATAAGCCAGATTCAAGGGTGATGTTCTGTGTGACTCCATTTATGTGGCGTTCTCAGAAAGGCAAAGCCATAGAGGAGAGCAGATCAGTAATTGTAGGAGTTAGAGGTAAGGTCATTGTTTGTCTGCAAAGGTGTCACTTACGGGAACTTTAGAAAGGGGATAATAAAGACGTTCCGTAGCTTTATTATAGTAGTAATGACACGGTTCTGTGCATTTGCCAAAATTCATAGAATTGTACATTTAAATAATAATTATGCAACATGGAGTTTTAAAAAACATGTCAAAAAGAAGGAGAAAGCCAGTAATGATAGTGCGAGCCTCTAATTCCAGCTACAAGGGAGGCTGAGGCAGGAGGCTAACTTGTTTGAGGCTAACCTGAGCAACTTAGCAAAACTCTTCCTCAAAATAAAATTTTGAAAAGACTTGGCAATGTATCTCAGTGGTAGAGCACTTTCCTCATACGCACAGGGTCTGGGTTCAATCCCTAGTACTACAAAAATTTCATAGAAGGAGAGAGACTATAATTGATACCTTTTATGACAAATTCCAAAGTTGGTGTAACCTCTGAGGATCCCCAAGCACGCAAAGCCCTGGTTTTTCTGGGCCCCAAGTGGGGGCACTAAAGTGGGATGGAAAGCTGAGCATGGTTTGTAAATGCACAGCCTTGTCCAGGAAATGACTCTACCCGGAGACATCGCCGAGCAGCGCAACTGAGTGATCTTTGCCCCAAGTCATTAAATCTGCTGTGTGTGTATCTAGAAAATAGTCCTAGTGGTACAGGATTTCCAAGAATTGGGAAATAACTGGATAACGAAGATAAGGAAAGAAGACAAAGAAACAAGAAAGCAGGCAAAGATATAAATGCTATCTAATTTCAGAAATGTCAGAGCCAATGTCCACTTGATCAAGAACTTCTTATGGAGAACCTGTACTGAATATAATGATGGGATAGTGGGTGTGGTCCTAAAATATATAGTAAGATTCAAACTTTAAGATCCGGAAGATGCTCTCTGAGTAGGGTGTATAATTAACACGGGAAATGATAGGGGCAATCCTGTTTTCTACTTAATATATTTCATAGAGTCCTCTTAGGGTGATAAATTTGTATTGCATTACATATTTCTAAAATGACCTATTGAAAGAATAGAACTTTGAGGTATTGAGATCTATAAATCTTTGAAATGTGCAAACATACCTCAGAAACTCTACCTGGCTGACACAGGCAAGAATGCTACATTTTACTATTATTTGTAGTTTTGGAATAGCTTCCTTGATTTTTATAATCAAGTATCTTTGAGCATTCTCATACTTCATTTTCTGATGAGCACATACAGTATTCATGCAGGCGGCTCTTTAGAAGAAAAATAAGGAGATTTCAGTAATCTCCTCTTGTCAGACCTTGCGTAACATAAACATATCAGTGGAAGATTAAGGGCCAATTCTTGAAAATAAAATAGAATCTTGAGGTGATTCAGGGAGAAGAAAACAGAGTCATTGTCTGTAAATGGAGGTTAATGATGCCCTTGTGCTAGTTGCAGTTTTATAGCTTGCATATTTTGATGAAAAAAAATCAAGGCTGTATCATAATTTGTGACTTACATGCCAAAGTGTCAAAGTGAAGTAGTTGTCTGCATTTTATTGTCAGAAAAAGAATTTTTTCTATGATTAGTCTTTCCCCAATGTTACTAGACTTTGTATGTGTGAGTGAGTGTGGGTGTTCCCAAAGTAATAATTCCTCCAGAGACTATGCTAACACTGACTGGCCACAAAATGCTTAAGAGAATGAGAGAGGGAGAGACAGGGAGAGAGAGGCAGAGAGAGAGAGAGAGAGAGAGAGGGGGGCAGAGAGACAGAGACTGGGAGACAGAGACAGAGAGAGACAGAGACAGAGACAGAAAGAGAGCTCTATCCATCACCTACACATGCCAGTGGGGATGAGGGGAAGGCTTTGAATTTTTAAATTTAGATTTATTTACATTAAAAATTGTTGATAGAAGTTTTCATATCTCACCTCGAAGGCCTGTACAGCATCACTGCTGACAGTACATTTATCCAGAAACTGACTTTATGCTAACAAATATGCTGTTCTGATTGTCAGCACAACTACAATGAATGAGCTTAGCACAATTCAAATGGCTCTTTGGCATATCATTAATCAAGTACGTTCTCCCTGGCACGCTCAGGTTAATATCAAAGTATACAATACAACATCATCCATTTTATTTAGCGTTCTTTGTGTGTGGGCTCATAAAACATTTTATACAGGTTTCCTTCCTCTCTTCTAGATTACAGCAAGTACAACAGCAGTAAAACAGAAGCTGAGGGGATGGACTGTGGTGGATTGACAACTGGTGGTCAACTTGTAACCCCCAGCGGAACAGAACTGGTGTGGTGCTGGGTGTGGGAGGCCCACCTGAGGATTGTTGCTGGCAGCAGAAGAGGCAGAACTGGAGAGGAAGGAGTTTAGAAGCTGTTGTGAAGCTATAGGGAGCTTTTGGTTTTCCTGCAGGAGCTTGTTGCACTGGCTTTCCTGATGAGCTCGGCTGCTCTCATCATCGAAGGAGCTTAGGACCTTGTTCTCACTGAGAATAGCTTTGGTTCACTTTGAGGGAGCTCTCATCCTCACTTTGAGAATCCCTTCCTGGCTCCGGAGGGGAGATGGTGCACTGCTCAGTTTCCTGGAGAAGCTTGTCGTATTGGCCTTCCTGATGGGAACTTGGCTGTTCTCATCGTCTGAGGAGCTTGGGACTTTGCTGTTGCTGAGGATGGCTGTGGTGCTTTTCAGGGGAGCTCTGGTTCTTACTTTGAGCATCTCTTCCTGGCTCTAGTGCAGATCCCTCAGCCTGCTGACACAGTTCCTTCATCCTGCTGGCACAGACTTCCTAGCTTCCACCTCTGACCTTGGGGCCTTCCCAGCGCAGATCCGTGACACAGTCATGCATGAGACATTGTCATGGGCTCTAGGCCTCCAGCTGGACTCCTAGGGGGCACAACTATGGATTCTAGGGCTTCAGCTGGACTCAAGGGGGAAATTACTGTAGGATCCAGGCCCTCAGCTGGATTCTTTCGTCTTTAGTGTGTGGACAAATTTCCTGTACTCTATATACAACTCTTTGGGTGACTATTATAAAATAATTCTATAAATTATGTGTCCTGTATTGTTTCCCCTTGTAAATCCCAAACTACAACAGGGACCAAGGCTTGTTCCCAAAGCCTTTTTTATCTTGGGGTGAAAGGTCTTCAAAATGACCAAATTTCAGGATAAAAGCATGAAAGGCAGTGAGAAAGAAAGGTGGGAAAATGTCAGAGAGATGGAGTAAATAGCCCCCAAAATTCAACTTCTACTTCAGTGAATTAGTGGGCGTCAATCTCAATAGAAGGACAGGCAGAGAGAAATGTTAGAGGTGCCTATAGGAACTCTTTTGAAAACTGGAAGGTCTTTTTGAAAAAAAATGCAGCAGTCTCCATTTACTCACAGGGGATACTTTTCAAGACCTGAGAGGACACCTGAAATGATGCAAAGTGTTGAACCCTGAGTTACATCTATAATAAAGGTTAATTTATAATTTGGGCATGGTAAGAGATTCATAACTAATAATAAAATAAAATAATTGTAACAGTATGCTGCAATAAAAATTATGTAAGGCAGTCTCTCAAAAATATCTTATTGTATTATACTCATCCTACCTCTTGAAATGTGGGGTGATACCTAAGGAAGCACTTTATAGCTTCCACCTAGCATATTACTCTGTTCCTGCTTTGGGACCATTATTAAGCAAAATAATGGTCCCTTGAATACAAGCAATCCAATTTGATAACCAAGGAGGCTACAGGATGATGAACAGGTGGGTAGCACACACAGAACGGATACGCCAGGTAAAGGAATGATTCATATCCAGGTAGGATGCAGTAAGGTAGCAAGAGGTTTCATCTGCTACTCTGCAATTACAACTTATGACTTATTTATTTCTAGAATTTTTTCATTTACCATTTTTGGGTCTTGGTAACATGAAAAATGAAAGTGCAGAAAAGGAGGGACTGCTGCATTTTCAGAAAGGATTCTTATTTATCTCTTATTTGGTTTAACTTAGTTTAACTGTATTCCATTAAAATTTCTTTCAAAATTAAGATCAGTCTCTTTATTAAAATGATAAAAATAGCCAAATAGCCAGTCTTGTCATGTATAATTTCATTTGTCAATGAACAACTCTGGGCTTACATGCCCCACTTGATAAAAACTTTACTTTAGAGAAAAGCAAGAAAGTGTAGCAGGAGAATGTGACCACAAATTCTGCTTTCTGGTGTGATTAGTATAGCTTGTGATTCTGGAACAATGTAAGAGGGACATCTAAATTTTAGTGCAATACTTACTTCAAAGATTTCAAAAGTGAATTCCCAATAGCTGCTATTCTTATAGTCACATCCCCCTTGGGGTGAAGGTGGGGAGCACAGGTCACCGCAAAGAGGTCTGTGGACCATGTAATTTTTAATTGTCAGTGGTAAGGGGAGTAATGCCTGTATATACAGTAGGCCTTATGTTAAATATATGCAAATGGTACTAGCAGAAATTAGAAGAAATTCTTTCTAAAGTGTGATTTGGCTCATAAAACTGTTTTTAGCATTATGTACCTTTTAAATAAATAGCTATTGAACACAGAGGGGTTGGTTGACATTTTTTGATAATCAAAAAGCGTCCTCATATGAACAGGTTATTTATAACTTCCCTAAACTGGGAATGATCTCAATGTCCTTTTGCAGGAGAATGGGTAAAAGGAATTAGGGTATAGTCATGCATTAGAATATTACACAGAAATAAAAGTGAACAAACTACTGATAATGTAATAGCACGGACGAGTCTCACAGACATGATGCTGAGTGGGGAAAAAAATGAGGGGAGCAGGGAGGAGGACACACACAAGAATATGTGGCGGGCTCAGCTTAAATGGTATTGGGAGCAGGCAGAACCAATTGACGCCATGGAAGTGAAGGCAGTGACTATTGTGGGGACTGTGGGCGTTACCTGGGCAGGGACAGGACAGAAGCTTCTAAAGTACGGAGGAACACTCTGGGAGTGGTGTATGAGAGGGTGCATAATAAATTTATTAGGCTATGTGCTTATGATTTATAAGTACTTTATATACTGCTTTGGGCTTTCTAAAAATGGTTAAGAAATTCTTCAACTCTGCTCCACCAGAGGTAGAAATTTTATCCCCTCCCCTGAGATTTGGGCTAGACTTACTGCTCATTTGTATACAACAGGATACAACCAACAGGTAGCTAAGTGATTTCTGAGACCAAGCCATAAAGGTAATCAGCCTCGTTCGTTAGGAGCTGGGGCGTTTCCTTGGGGATCCTGGCTCATCACTGGAGAAGTCCACCTACCTTAAAACTGCCATGCTGGGAGGAAGCCCAGTGTACGTGTGTGCCAGTGCCCCCAGTGAGTATAGCATCATGTGTCATAGGCCTGTGCTAATGAAAAATTAAAAACAAGCAAAAATGCAAGTGCTATACTGAAAGCAGGAACACACTGTCTTCTCCCTGACACAGTCGCTCTATTGCAGCACAGTTCACTAGCCAGTTACCTAGGAGAGCTCTAGGGAAAAAGGCAACACAGAAGGCGTCTTGGTTTCCCTTTTACAGCTAAAACTGAACACTACAGATTAGACAGTTTACAAAGAAGGGAAATTTATTTAGTGCAAAGTTTGGGAGGCTGGGAAGTCTAAAAGCATGGTACTGGTATCTGCTGAGGGCCTTGTTTGGAGGGCATCACTTCGCACGCACGCCCCCTCAGGTCTGTCTCACAAAGTCGCTGATCGCATCATGGGCACCGCCTTTGTGACTTTAACCTGAAGTGCCTCCCAGTGGTCCCAACCTAAACTATGAATATATGAATTTGAGAATGAAGTTTCCAAACACCTGAGCTTTCAAAGGACATGTTTAAAACCTTAGCCATAGGAAAGCTTTGATAGGGTACAAAAAAAAAAAAAGAACAAAGAAAAAGAAATCAACAAAATCCAGTCTTGGCCAGGTGTGGTGGCTCATGCCTGTAATCCCAGCCCTCAGGAGGCTGAGGCAGGAGGATGGTTTTAAGTTCGAGACCAGCCTGGGCTACAAAGTGAGCTCAAAGCCAGCCTGGACTGCATAGCGAGACCCTGTCTCAAAAAGACACACACACACAAAAGTCCAATCTTAACTGCTTCCGACTTATTTTAAATCACAGAATCCTGTCTTGAAACGAAAACTTCAGAGGGATTCCAGTGTATAGAACCAATCGGAAAGGTCTGAAGAATGGTCAAGGCTGATCTGTAAGCACTAGGCTATACATTGGCTCTGTGGGCTGATCCTCATCCACAGAGTTGCAGGATTTTTATCTGTTCCTCAGTTTGATCCAAGCTTGGCCTGGGGCTGTTTCCATATGGCACATTTATTTTGAGGAAACAGACTAACCATATGATTTCACTAGGAAACCAGAGCCCCCCTATTGCATTTCAAGCTCTGCAGTCCCACTGCTGAGAAAACACGCATTATGAAAGAAAACAGGATTTGGCTCCATTGTTTATATAAATGATGCTTAGTAAAATCCATGTTAGAGGAATACCAATGTCATGGGCCATGTACAAATTTTTTGATGTTTTCCCTTCTGTATATTTCATGGTCTTGGTTTTTATTCCACAGAAAGGAGAGGGCATATGAAAATGCTTAAGGCGCTGCACACTGCAGCCTGGGACGGCTTGGGTTTGATGGATGATGTGGGATTGCACAGCTCATTGCAAAGTAATGCTTTTAACTTAAATCACATCAGTTTTAAGTGAATATGTTTTACACATTTCTGCTCCAGAGTTTGGAAGAGCTTTTTCCTAGAAAACAGCACTTTTGGAAACAGTCTGACCGAGGGGGTGGCTAAAGGGAGGAGACTTCTTCCTGGCTTGGACAGAGAGAATGTTTACTCGCTTTATCTTTAAACGACTAGAAGTTTAAGGCCCACAGTGCTCCTGTCTTCCTAATGAAGCGGTTAATGATGTGTGAATTATAGATACTGACAACCCCTTTAATAAAAACAACAGGACTGCATCCACAGTATAGTGTGACTCTAAATAATGACAGACTGTCCGCCTAGCGCAGCGCAGTATCTTTAAGGAAAGTGCCATTCCTGCGTGTCTGCACTGCAAATTCTTGGTGAACATAGTTACTAAGAACACATGAGTACACAGGACACTTCATGTTTACCCAGCTGGAGAGCAGGAGCCAGAGAGGTTTTAGAGATGTGGCTGAATCCTGAGAAAGCAAGAGCTGTTCTTACTCTGCATTGGCTGCTCTGCTTTCCTGTGAGTGCCGATAGAGGACTCTGTGATGGATATTTTCTTCTTTTTTTCGTTTTTTTTCCTGGTACCGGGAACCGAACTCATGATCTTGTGCTTGCCAGGCAGGCACTGTGCCGCTGAGCTAAATCTCCAGCCCCTGTGATGGATATTTTCATAGCCTAAAAGTTGCCCTCTCTTCTCACTCTCCCCTCTCCCCAGAGGAGCACAGGAATGCTGGCTTTCCAGTTGATTTCAAAGAACC